TTTCCGGAGGAGGTAAGGCCTGATAGCATCAGTAGAGTATTGTCAGTGCTACTCGGGGTCGTTGTGCTCTAGTGCTCCAGGAGGAAATGGTTTCCGGAGGAGGTAAGGCCTGATAGCATCAGTAGAGTATTGTCAGTGCTACTCGGGGTCGTTGTGCTCTAGTGCTCCAGGAGGAAATGGTTTCCGGAGGAGGTAAGGCCTGATAGCATCAGTAGAGTATTGTCAGTGCTACTCGGGGTCGTTGTGCTCTAGTGCTCCAGGAGGTTTCCGGAGGAGGTAAGGCCTGATAGCATCAGTAGATGTTGACATCATGTTTCCCAGTGACTCCTATTACATTTGATCTCAGCGTTACTTGGTGGAACATCATTGGACCATTGTCTGATGTTCTCACTAGACAGCCTGGAAAATGAGCTAGTTCATCCCTCATTAGATAAGGTGTAACAGACATTCTCCACTGTATTTGACCTAGATCATCTTTTATCAACAATATTTGTATTCATGCATCTTTGAGACTGAATACAACAGATGTGTTCCGTTCTTTCAGAACTTTGCAAGTGTTTTATGAATTGTCTCCCCTTGATAATTTTAAATGTTAGTTGAAAAAAGTAGTCTTTTTAATGAACATGCAATGAAAATATTACTTTTGGAATTAAAATAAAATCAGTGGTGATTTTTTAACATGACTATACAGTATTGCTGAATAAATCCATCAGTAGTCATGGTAGCTTTGAGAGCCTCGTACATGTCAGGTTGTAGTCTCGTTCAACCAGACTCTTAATGTCTGCGCAAGCTTCACAGAACAGAGAGTCTGGTTAAACCCAGTGCTATCGTTTTGTGAGGTCATAACGAGGCTTACTAGAGTTCTGGTAAATGATTTCATTGGTCAAAGGTAGACGCACCCTTGCCACTTTTGAAGTCAGAATTTAGTGGCGCAAAATTACATTGAATATTTTAATTCATGAAAAAACTTACCAGTACATGCATTGCTGAAGTATCTATGTTTTCACTTTTATCGACAAAAATGTAAGAAAATTCTTCAAATCTCAAGAATCATGTATTTTCATTGGACATTTTACAATAATTTGAGAAGCTGACAAAGCTATTTACACAAGTCAAGCCAGATTACTTGAGTGAGAACCTGTAGTGTTTTGAATGGTGTACAGGTAAAATCTCGCTTGTTTTGCATGTTTTTTTCAACCTCAGTCTGCCTTGTTAGCTTTGTGATCAGTTATGATTTATTCAGTGGAAATGTATGCCATTATTCTGGAGTCAGCACATTTTCTTTCATTTTTCCCGATGATAGTGAATAAACAGATATCTCAGTAATGCATGTACAGGTGAGTTTTTTCATTTATTTCATTATTTTTTTAAATGTTTAAATGGCGTTAACATAAAGTCCGGAAACGAAAGTAAAAACACTGCCCTCTGGTGATGGTAATTTCTAAGTACTCTGTTTGACCAGACTCTTGAATTACAAGTAATCAAGCGTCTGGTTGAAGGAGACTAGTCATATTGTAGAGTGATACAGATATAAGTGAGTTAAAGAGAATATGGTTTGATTTGTACATAACACAAGGGAGGTTATATCAATTCACCACAATACACAAAACTTATATTACCAGTACTACGGTTTAGACAACATACCAGAAATAGCCTTATTTTTACTGGTGGCTTTTAAGTGCATTTCATTGTGTCCTGATCTATCAGAACCTTGTCTAATTTTTCTCATCCGATCAATTTTCTCCTGACCTGCTGTCCTAATTGACAAACTAATTGTCAGTGGAGCGTGGTAGACAAGGTACACCTGTATAGGGATGATGTATGTACGAGGAGTGAGATTAGATTATAGTGTCACGAGTCCGTGCAGCAACATATACTTACTAATCAAGTGATATCATTGTCACTACCTAGCTGCTCAGCCTGGCGATATCAGGGTGGATCCACAGCCACCCACAGTCTCATCTCCTCCTTCATGGAAGCAATCACTATACTTTTGGCACTTCCCTTTGGCATCCTTATTGATGGGTGCACATTGAAGACATTCCTGTGGTCACTTTGATGATTTATGTTAGAAATGTAAATTACATAATCTTCATCTGCATTCAGCTCATACATATTGTCAAGGTCAAAAATTATCTGAAGTTGACTGTGTGAGATTGTTTATCTGTGCAACGAAGATGGGATGGAAGCGTCAGGCTGAAGTCTGTAGTGTTTTGAGCTTATATTGTGATATAATGGAATACTAAGGGGAGTAGCTAAAGACAAAATCTGTCACCAGGCGGAGCTAATGTCAAACAATGCTGTCACGAAAGTTCTCGAGAAAAAATATGTAAGTTGTCTACTTTGTTTCAGTGTTTCCTTCATCATTGAGGTACTGGTACGTGTTAGAACATTCTGATAATGTATGGAATTATTTGGATGGTGGTACAATGGTGTCCTAAATATTGTCTTTGTCACCTTTGTGATAATTTTGATGAATTATTTATAGGTATGTATGTAAAATAACTGTGTATTTGGTGTGTCTGTATAATCTGATTTGTGATAACAGGACAGCAGGTATTATTGTCTCACTGTTACAATGTGTGTACGGTGGTAACCAGTCAGCATGACTCCATAGTCCTCACTGTTACAATGTGTGTAGGGTGGTAACCAGTCAGCATGACTCCAGAGTCCTCACTGTTACAATGTGTGTAGGGTGGTAACCAGTCAGCATGACTCCATAGTCCTCACTGTTACAATGTGTGTAGGGTGGTAACCAGTCAGCATGACTCCATAGTCCTCACTGTTACAATGTGTGTAGGGTGGTAACCAGTCAGCATGACTCCATAGTCCTCACTGTTACAATGTGTGTAGGGTGGTAACCAGTCAGCATGACTCCATAGTCCTCACTGTTACAATGTGTGTAGGGTGGTAACCAGTCAGCATGGCTCCATAGTCCTCACTGTTACAATGTGTGTAGGGTGGTAACCAGTCAGCATGGCTCCATAGTCCTCACTGTTACAATGTGTGTAGGGTGGTAACCAGTCAGCATGGCTCCATAGTCCTCACTGTTACAATGTGTGTAGGGTGGTAACCAGTCAGCATGGCTCCATAGTCCTCACTGTTACAATGTGTGTAGGGTGGTAACCAGTCAGCATGGCTCCATAGTCCTCACTGTTACAATGTGTGTAGGGTGGTAACCAGTCAGCATGGCTACATAGTCCTCACTGTTACAATGTGTGTAGGGTGGTAACCAGTCAGCATGGCTCCATAGAAAAAAGATGAATTTGACTGAGAAAATATACTCCATCAACTACTGTGTACCTGTGTGTATTTTTATTGAGAAATTTTGTAATTTAGATTAACTTACAATTGCTAATGGGTATTTATATGAGGCAATACTGTAGCTGGGAACTATATTATGTACTGACTTCAGGCAAACATGAATAATTATGGTCATAGACAGGTGTCCCATGTGGAGATGTTTTGTTATTTTGGTCAGGTTTTGACCCTGTTTCTACAGCTGGGTTGACTAAGAATGATCCTGTTTTAAAGATGAAGTCAATGTTAGTGGCGTAGGAATCTGGATTTATTCTTAGGTCAGCATTGGTATTTAAAAGGTCATTATCCCTCTTTGATGTCTCTTTTCTATGATTCTGACTGAAATAAACTATTCTCAAAGTACATTAACTTATATAGCCATTGTAGATTGATGGATGGCCAGGGTTTATTGTGTGTTGAGATAACAGTTGATGTCTCTATCTCCCTACAGGTGTGATCTTATCACATCAGATTTACCTGCTCAAGGTAGATGAACAACCGCTAAACAAGAGAAAACAGATACTTATAAATACCTGTTGTTGTGTTATGAGAACTCAGGTGTGCATGACTTCATAAATCATTAAAATATACAAAAAAATGATAAAGTGAAATACAACATCAGTTTAGAAAAACTGTATAGAATGTACATAATTGTGTAAGGAGTTAAAAGCCAGTCAAGCAATTTTCACAATCTTTAGATGTCTGAATGGAAAGGTACACATAGTGCATCGTGAATCACATTGTACTACCTAAAGCTGTTGTTGTTTACACACAGAGGTAGAGTGTTCAAAGGGTGTGCATACCTGTCCCACCTGTAATCAGGTAGAATGCATACCTGTCCCACCTGTAATCAGGTAGAAAGCATACCTGTCCTACCTCTAAATCAGGTACAAACTCACTGCCTGTCCTAATTTGTCTGCCTTGTCATCAGTTTTCTGTATCTAAAAAAACCTGAGAAAGCACTTAATTGTGCTAGGGAACTCTTTTCTTCTTTATTGGAATACATTTTGCTCCTACAATGTACATTGCTGTACATGACTAATACCATGTACATTGCTGTACATGACTGATACAATGTTCATTGCTGTACATGACTAATACACTACACATTGCTGTACATGACTAATACAATGTACATTGCTGTACATGACTGATACACTACACATTGCTATTTAATGTGGTACACAACAAACTTTTATACAATGGTGAATATACGCTATGATCTAAACAAATGTCTGCAGTACCATGATTCTATAATATTTAAGACACTTGAAGAATCTTGTTGACAGTTGCTGTTGAACATTTTGTGCCATGTGTATTTATTATTATTTCATAGGACAGCTGTAGAGTTATTTAACTGATGCCATTGGATTTGTGGATTTGTCACACACTGAAACAATTCAAAGTACATTAAGTTAACATTTAAGGTAAATCCCATAGAATTAATGTGATACCCTCAGAGGTAGATTCCATAGAACTTGTGTGTTACCCTTAGAGATACATTCCATAGAAAACAGCTAAAATTTAATTTTCAGAGCTGTTAAGATATCATCCAGTATGGAGGAGAAATGGTGTAGTAATATTTGTCTGTTATTTGTAAATTGTACCCTTGGTTTGTGAGTGGTGAACATGTCTACTTCGTGTGATTCGATCGTACCTATGATTTTAACGGTTAATAATGTTTGTCTGTTTCGTTACAGTTCCTACTCAGCGCGGACAGTTGTGCTTCAGCGCGGACCCGAGGGCTATGGATTTGTACTACGGGGAGCCAAATGTAAGTACATTGTACTAGACTTGAGATGTGCTGAGGTTGAGGCAGATATTTCCATGGAGCCTTGAACTGTGTTGAATGAATTTAGCTCTGTACAAATCTACTTGAGATAGAGTAGTTATGGTATGAACACTTATGACTGGGTTTGGTCAAACAGAACCATTTCTGTGAAGGACCATGTTGTATCTGGAGTGTAAAGGGTAAAGGTCATCAAGTCGTGTGTGATATTGTGAAGATAGGTGTGTGTCAAATATTGATAGTCTTGTTTGTCAGTGGGACACCAGCTCAGTGACTCTACCACTGTATAATAGACCTCAACATGATGGTTTCATGGCTGCTTCATCAAGTTATTTAAGTAATCAGGTTTTCTCTATAGGCCATGGTGGTACATCAGTAGAGGTGACGTGTTCTGTGATTGTTTATAGTGTAGGGCTGGTTTAGTGTGGACGGGTACAGATAGAAATCGTAAGTTAGCTTATTCTTAATGGTTTGAGTTAGTTTTGATGAGTTGTTATGCAAGATGAACGAATTTTTGACTGGTTGAGTTATGATTAAAGTTGGAGAATTTCTATATTTTGAATTCGTTTGATTGAGGTATGATGTGGTTTGTGTATTTTGAATGAATTGAGTTCGTTTTGACAGATTGAGTATTTTGCTTAATGCAGGGTTTAGTTATCTTGGAAGATAAATTAAGTTTTGAAGGGTAGAATAATTACATAATTGGATAAGTTTTAATGGGTTTTAAGTATGACTTAGTTGTTTATTTTTGATAGGTATAAGTATGACCTAAGGCGGAATTAAAACCTGGAACAGCAAGAATCCAATACCGGGTAGACATATAGATACTGTGTCGCCAGATCAAGGATGGCATAATGACCCCACTCTAGATAACACGCACGTCACATTTCATATACCCAACACTCGAGAATATCACATTCTGTTTAAACTCTGTATCTGATAATAAATAGGTATATATACATTCTGTGCACGCATAAACTTTCAAACTGATAATGTGTGTTCATATTCTTCCTGATCTCAAAATTTAGTGTAGATACTGGCAAGCGTCTGCAAAATATTTAAAAAAAACCTGCATTCCCGGTTTTAAAAGTGCTTGTCTAGAATTTACCAAAAATTATTATACATTAAGTTAAGTTAATATTTACCTATACAGGATCTATAAAGATCCTCTTCACCAGACTCAAAGACATAACATTGAAATATTTAATGATAGACGAAAGTGATGTTACTTGGATCATTAACGTATTCTCCCAATGCTTATCCAGTCTATATAAAAAAGTGTTAACATTCGTTGCTAATACCACATTTTCAGGAAGGTTGTTCCTTACAATTACAAGGCAAAAACGTTCTTGCGAGTATCTATTCTAGAATGTTGTGGAAATACTTTCATTGGAAGTCCTCTTATTCCATGTCTTTGTGATTGATCTCTCATTGGAAGTCCTCTTATTCCATGTCTTTGTGATTGATCTCTCATTGGAAGTCCTCTTATTCCATGTCTTTGTGATTGATCTCTCCACATTTTAACAAAATCTGTTGCACAATTATCGTAAATATTGCTTGTTATTTTAAACCTCATCATGTCTCCTCTTATTCTTCTGTATTCTATCAAAGTGTGTAGTAGAGAGGACCTGATTGTAGACCTCAGTAGAGGTGAGTTAAGGACACATCTGTCAGAGCTGGTCCTAATCTCACACCCTTTAGCTATATTTATTGACCTATAGATGTATTCTATTATAGTGTGTAGTAGAGAGGACCTGATTGTAGACCTCAGTAGAGGTGAGTTAAGGACACATCTGTCAGAGCTGGTCCTAATCTCACACCCTTTAGCTATATTTATTGACCTATAGATGTATTCTATTATAGTGTGTAGTAGAGAGGACCTGATTGTAGACCTCAGTAGAGGTGAGTTAAGGACACATCTGTCAGAGCTGGTCCTAATCTCACACCCTTTAGCTATATTTATTGACCTATAGATGTATTCTATTATAGTGTGTAGTAGAGAGGACCTGATTGTAGACCTCAGTAGAGGTGAGTTAAGGACACATCTGTCAGAGCTGGTCCTAATCTCACACCCTTTAGCTATATTTATTGACCTATAGATGTATTCTATTATAGTGTGTAGTAGAGAGGACCTGATTGTAGACCTCAGTAGAGGTGAGTTAAGGACACATCTGTCAGAGCTGGTCCTAATCTCACACCCTTTAGCTATATTTATTGACCTATAGATGTATTCTATTATAGTGTGTAGTAGAGAGGACCTGATTGTAGACCTCAGTAGAGGTGAGTTAAGGACACATCTGTCAGAGCTGGTCCTAATCTCACACCCTTTAGCTATATTTATTGACCTATAGATGTATTCTATTATAGTGTGTAGTAGAGAGGACCTGATTGTAGACCTCAGTAGAGGTGAGTTAAGGACACATCTGTCAGAGCTGGTCCTAATCTCACACCCTTTAGCTATATTTATTGACCTATAGATGTATTCTATTATAGTGTGTAGTAGAGAGGACCTGATTGTAGACCTCAGTAGAGGTGAGTTAAGGACACATCTGTCAGAGCTGGTCCTAATCTCACACCCTTTAGCTATATTTATTGACCTATAGATGTATTCTATTATAGTGTGTAGTAGAGAGGACCTGATTGTAGACCTCAGTAGAGGTGAGTTAAGGACACATCTGTCAGAGCTGGTCCTAATCTCACACCCTTTAGCTATATTTATTGACCTATAGATGTATTCTATTATAGTGTGTAGTAGAGAGGACCTGATTGTAGACCTCAGTAGAGGTGAGTTAAGGACACATCTGTCAGAGCTGGTCCTAATCTCACACCCTTTAGCTATATTTATTGACCTATAGATGTATTCTATTATAGTGTGTAGTAGAGAGGACCTGATTGTAGACCTCAGTAGAGGTGAGTTAAGGACACATCTGTCAGAGCTGGTCCTAATCTCACACCCTTTAGCTATATTTATTGACCTATAGATGTATTCTATTATAGTGTGTAGTAGAGAGGACCTGATTGTAGACCTCAGTAGAGGTGAGTTAAGGACACATCTGTCAGAGCTGGTCCTAATCTCACACCCTTTAGCTATATTTATTGACCTATAGATGTATTCTATTATAGTGTGTAGTAGAGAGGACCTGATTGTAGACCTCAGTAGAGGTGAGTTAAGGACACATCTGTCAGAGCTGGTCCTAATCTCACACCCTTTAGCTATATTTATTGACCTATAGATGTATTCTATTATAGTGTGTAGTAGAGAGGACCTGATTGTAGACCTCAGTAGAGGTGAGTTAAGGACACATCTGTCAGAGCTGGTCCTAATCTCACACCCTTTAGCTATATTTATTGACCTATAGATGTACTTGTGACTTGGAAGGCAAAGAACATCAGTTTATGGCACTCTTTACTTTGACATAAGATCAGTTTATGGCACTCTCTCCTTTGACATAAGTTCAGTTTTGAGAAGTTCTATATTGTTGAATGAGTTTCGAGTTGGTTGTAACCAGTCTTAGGGTCCAAGGAATTGGCACAAACTTAGGTGTTTAGTAAGTGTTTGGCTTGGCCAGGTTAGAAAAAGATCAATAAATTTTACACGTCAGTAAGCTTACCATGAACACCATAGAGGGTTGGAGAAACATGGCAGGAATGGCTGGTCCGTCACCCCAGTTTATTGAAGACCAGAGTTTTGTTGACAGTACACCTGAGGTTTTGTCCAGCCCCTCCCCCCATAATCTACCAGACGTACACACTGGTTAGTTTGACATTCTATATCAGAAATCTCAACACCTTTTAATTCAGATCATAGAGACCTAATACTGATGACAGAAATAGGCTGTAAATGATATGTTTACAATGACCTGACTAGTTGACAATTCCATGAAGATATTTTGTACCAAAGTTTGTTAACTTTATTGTGTGGAAGCTGTTGTGTGTAAGTTAGATAAAGGGACAGTGTTACCTTGTGTCACTGAAAGGGAAGAGCTCACCTGGATCATCTAAATGTAAAACATGGAGGGCACACAAACGTTTGATTTATCTGGAATTAAGTGGCTAAATCAAGAGCCTGGGGGATTTAGCCGGAGAAATTGACCTGGACTTGTACCTGTTTCACACCTGCCTTGTGATCTTTTACACCTTTCGTAACCTTCATTTACCTTTCCCTTGTAAAACAAAGGTAAATTAAACACATTAAAACACATACAGAAAGCATTGAACACAAAAATATTGTATTGCTGTCAGCAATCTTTTCCTTCACATCTTTCATTATCATACAAATTTCAAACATCACTTTGCCATGCTTAGAGCATGCCTGGATGTATGAATTTACAGCATACCTTGGGGCAGTTAAAGGTCTGCTCCAGAAACAAAATAGCTCACACAAACATTAAAATAGCATAAAATCCTCAGCTTGCTTTTAATTGCAAACATGGCAGGTCTCAAGTATTTCATTTTTGATGAAGTGCTAAATTGTTGAAATCCAACCTCATCACGTCTTGTTACCCAAAATAAATGCCCTACTCTTGTTTTTGTTCAGGATTATAAGTGCATGTGTCCTTTGTACATATATTGAACTGTGAATATCATTTGTGACATACAGCATAAAAAGACAGGTAATGAGGCGGTCACATTTACGTGTGGAACCATTCCCAGCTTAGAACAGGGCACTAGCAGACAGTCGGGTGAACTTATGGTGGTATTTACATAGATATATTACAGCAGGTATATACCCTAGGTGTATATATATATATATGCCTGTACAGGTATGTGTGTTCTAGTTCAATACTGAATCTAATCAATAGATCAAAGGTCAATATTCTGTAGTACTGTATTTACCTGTGAGAAAGCCCTGGGTAGTTATTTCCTTAGTGAAATTGATACGGGGCTTAGGGCCAAATTTTACACTGGCTGTAGGGAGGGCAGAAGATAGGCTCCTATACAATCACTGACATAAAGGCAGGTTTATTGTCATTGGCTTAATTATC